TGAGATAGAGTCTCACTTTGTTGCCCTCAGTAGAGTGCCATGGCATCATAGCTCACAGTAACCTCAAATTCTTGGGCTCAAGCGATTCTCTTGCCTCAGCCTCCCGAGTAGCTGGTACTACCAGCAACCACCACAATGCCCGGCCATTTAGAGATGAGGTCACAATGCCATTTTAGAGATGAGGTCTCACTCCAGCTCAGACTGGTCTCCAGACTCATGAACTCAGGCAATCTACCCACCGTGGCCTCCCAAGTGCTGGGATTACAGGTGTGAGCCACAGCACCCAGCCTGCTGCACTTTTTCTAAGATGAGTTCACAAACTTAATTGTCAGACCTCATATGTTGTGGAGAAAGCCAAAAGCCTAATCTTTCATCTCCTAATCCTTACCAAGATCTGTTGATTTCATCTCCTGAACTTTGCTCATATTCACTTACTTTGCTCCTACCTGTCCTGGAGGAATGGGAAGGGCACAGGTCAGATGGGTGTGGGTTAGTGGGTAAGGTAATAGGTGGGAGGTACATACAAGAAGACAGTCAATATAGACAACTCCTTTGGAAACTTCAGGCAAAGAATCCTAGAATATTTTGGAGGATGATATTCTTTCATTTCATTCCCAACACCACCTTTTAGCCCAGCCACACCTCTGGGTGTGACAATCGCTGGCACCCATAACAGGCAGAGCCTCAGACCTCTTTTAGACCTTTTATAAGGTAAACCACCCCCAAAACACACTCCATTGTAGATATGAAAGAATTTGTGTGTTTGCTGGGAGGTGGGAGGTTCCTTGTAATATCTTAAAACTAATAAAACAAGGCATGCATCTGGACCGAGAGAATAACCTCTTTCTTGATCTCCCTCACTCATTCCTGTTCTCCGTAACGCAGCCAGGAATCTTTCCAACTGTAAATGTGATCATATTTTTTTTTTTGTTTTGTCTTGAGACAGAGTCTCAGTATGTTGTCCCCGGTAGAGTACTGTGTCATCACAGCTCACAGCAACCTCAAACTCCTGGGATTAGGTGATTCTCTTGCCTCTGCCTCCCAAGTAGCTGGGTCTACAGGCACCTGCCACAATGTCTGGCTTTTTTTTTTTTTTTGGTTGTAGTTGTCTTTGTTGTTTGGCAGGCCCAGGCTGGATTCAAATCCGCCAGCTTGGGTGTATGTGACAGGCACCCTAAGCACTGAGCTACAGGAGCTGAGCCTTTGATCAGATTCAAACTCCTTCTTTGTCTTCCTTGCTACTTTTTCCTCCCTGACTCTTCACGTTCATGATCCGTATGACAGTCACTTGAAACTTCTTTTGATTCCTCAAACACACTATGGTGGTCTCTTGATCGTGGTATGCTGTCCCCTCTGCTATTCCCTCCCTCTTTCTTTGCTTGATTAACTCCTATTGATTCATCAGCTCTTAGCTCAAATGTCACTTCTTCAGGCAGGTTTTCATTGCTCTCCAACAGGTTGTCTCCCAGTTGGTATATTCTGAGAAATGTGTCTAGGAAAAAAAAAAAGACTCTCAGTTTTTTCACCTCACAATACTCGTCACAGTTTGCAGTCATATATTTGTTGTGATTATTTGACTAACATCTGTCATCTCTAACAGACAGGAAGTCTTAGGAGGCCCGGAAGCAGGCCTCTTTTCTTTTATTAGACAGGGTCTCATTCTGTTGCCCAGCTGGAGTGCAGTGGCATGATCATGATCATTGCTCACTGTAACCTCCCACTCCTGGGTTCAAGCAATCCTCCTTCCTCTCCATGCCTGGCTAATTTTTTGAATTTTTTGTAGAGACAGGGCCTTGTATGTCTTCCAGGATGGTCTCAAACTCCCACTTCAGCCTTCTGGGATTATAGGCATGAGCCACTGTGTGCACCTGGCTCTCTTTTCATACCATCACATATTATTATATGATAATCTAATATCCAGCACAGGGAAGATAATAATACGTGCGTACATGCGTGCATGTGTATGACTAGTAAAGAGTCTGGATATGCAAAACAAAGTAGACCTGGACTGTGGTTACCTCACATGGAGACACCATACTTAGCAGCCCTTTCAAAGCAGCCCATCTGCCTTCTTCAAAGACAGCTCTCTAGCTGGGCCACTGTCATCTGCAACATATAATAGGATATACCATCAACTAACTTGTTTGGTTTCTGAATCACCTGAATCCACCCTCATTCAGCAATGTGGACTATCAGCTTTCTGAGACAGAGAGAACAACCTTGAAATAATTGCCATTATTCATTTGACCAATATTTATTCAGTGCCTACCCCTACTATATTTAAACACTGTGCTGGGAATGGGGAAACAGATGAATGAGGTCTGATTATTATTCTCAAAGAGTTTACAGTTTTGAAGCACAGTCAGATATATAAACAAATTATAATTTCCTGTTTGAAAACACTAATATTACAAGGCATACTCAAAGTTTTGAAGGATCACAGAGAAGAGAGTGACTATCAAAGCACTTACCAAATCCCTGGCTGAAAAACTATTTAGAACAACTAACTACTCAAGGGACATATTTTTCAAACCTTCTAAGCTCTAACTTTGGACCTGTTTATACTATAAGAAATCAACTTACTTGGACCACATTAGACAAGCCTCTTATGAAATACCATCACTTGGTTGCTTTTTATGTCCTCGGCATTTGTCAGACATAATAAGATATATCCGTATGAATTTTGCTTTTGACTTTCTCGTTCATATTTTCTCGATTGCGTTATTATAACATTCACTGTTTCTCAAGAAAGTGATAAGAGAAGCTACCATTTGAATTTAGTGATACAGGAAAAAGAAAATCCTATGGTCTATCTCCTCTGATGAACTCACTCCTTTCAAATGACAAAATCTATTCAACACGTACTATGTTTTCATTTTTGCCCTGGCATCCAGGAAGCTTGAAAGTAAGTTGCAAGTTCAGTTAGTCATGTTTAATGTCAGGATGATGGTGATCCCCTTTTGCTCTGGCCCTATTTCTTATTTCTCTGTTCTATTTCTTGTTTTCCATTGTAAACCTCCTTTATGTTCTTATGGACAAGAAATGGAATAAAATGAACTTAATATTTGGTATGCGTAGCCCTTTTAGAATTATTTCTGGGCTCGGCGCCTGTGGCTCAAGCAGCTAAGGCGCCAGCCACATACACCTAAGGTGGCGGGTTCGAATCCCCAGCCCGGCCCACCAAACAACAATGATGGCTGCAACCAAAAAATGGCCGGGCACTGTGGCGGGCGCCTGTAGTCCCAGCTACTTGGGAGGCTGAGGCAGGAGACTCACTTGAGCCCAGGAGTTGGAGGTTGCTGTGAGCGTGATGCCATGGCACTCTACCCAGGGGGATAGCTTGAGGCTCCGTCTCAAAAAAAAAAAAAAAAAAAAAAGAATTATTTCTGCTATTTTAAAAGGATAAATGCAAAAATATATGACCTATGTTGTGATCTTTAAAGAATTTGGAGATGCCAGGCACCGTGGCTCATGCCTGTAATCCCAGCACTGTGGGAGGCTGAGGTGGGAGGATTGCTTGAGCTCCGGAGTTAAAAGCTTGTCTGAGTGCCTGTAATCCCAGCAGCTTCAGAGGCTGAGGCAGCAGGATGCCCACAGCCAGAGTCTGAGGTTGCAGTGAGCTGCGACACCATTGCACTCTGTTCAGGGCATAGGGTAGAACTGTCTCAACAACAACAACAACAAAAGAATTTGAAAAAATTGAAGAGGACCCAGAGAAAAGGGACAAAGAATGTGAACTGAGATGGCATGCCCGTATTCTCCAACTCAAAAATTGGGGCATATATGAACATACAGAACTTGGACTGTTCTGTAAAATCTCAGAGATATGCTGAAGACTGGCATGGTCATTATTTAATATATAGTACATGAATAGTTAGAGAAAGGCTTTAACATTTTCTTGGAGCACAGATCCTTCTGATGATTACTGGAACTGCTCCCCAGTACAATACAAGGACATATTGTTTCTGAAAGCAGAACCCTCCTGTTATCTATTCATAGTTCCAGAAAATCAAAAGCACTTTACAGCTGCTACTGCTGTAAAGAATTCAGATAGACCTAAGGTAGAACCCGAGCTGCCAAGTCAGATGGTGAAACTGGCAAATTGGCTATCAGCTTAAGTTAACACTAACACCAGACTTGGACAGTTAAGTCAGCAAGTATTTTCTGTTTGCTTTTTTATTTATTTTTATTTTTTAGAGACAAGAGTCTCACTTTGACGCCCTCGGTAGACTGCCACAGCATCACAGCTCACAGCAACCTCCAGTTCTTGGGCTTAGGCGATTCTCCTGCCTTAGCCTCCCGAGTAGCTGGGACTACAGGCGCCGGCCACAACGTCCGGCTATTTTTTTGGTCGGGGCTGGGTTTGAATCTGCCACCCTCGGTATATGGGGCCGGTGCCCTACTCACTGAGCCACAGGCGCCGCCCTCTGTTTGCCTTTAAGTAACAGACCCTTTTGATGAGCTGACTAAGATACAGGTAAGTTATTACAAAAAATACAACCACAAAACACTCCACCGCCACAACACAATTTTGCCCATAATTTCACGAGGTTTGTGGACTTCCTAAAGCCCATCCTCAAATGGTTGGTTATTTTTAAGGGCAAGACCTCATTGAACTCAGTGGAATGCCCTTGATGACCTTTAAGAATCACCCTCTCTTTTGTACTGGGGGCAAGAGAGGCCTAAAAGGTTACGCGATCCGAGAGTCACCAGACCCCAGCCACCTCTCACCAGGCCCCTCCAAGCTTTCCCCTACCCGCTCCGGTGCCGCGCAGGTGCGAAAACCTACGGGACCACCGGGGTGAGACCGCCGGAGCGCTGGGGGGGAAGGGACCCTGTAGGGGCGGAGGCGGGGGTGGGGGCCTTTCCGATGTTGCTTGGTGACCACGCTCTCCGCCCAGACCGTTCCATTTCCTCAGCAGGGGGGACCTCTGGCCGGGCCGTTGCTGACCAGCCTTCCAGAGCGGCCCTCTTCCGGCTTTCCACCCCGTGCCAGGCGGTGGTGCGCTCCCGTGACGTCACAGAAGGCGGGGCCAGCGCCGCTGCCGGGTGCTGGAGGCGCCATTGGAGCCGGCTTGGCTTACTAGCCCCGCTGAGGAGCCGGAGCTTGGGTCGCAGTTGCCGCCGGGTCCACTCTCGGTCTCTGGCCCCTCAGCGGCATGGCGTGCGGGGCGACGCTGAAGCGGCCCATGGAGTTCGAGGCGGCTCTACTGAGCCCCGGTTCCCCGAAGCGGCGGCGCTGCGCCCCTCTCCCCGGCCCCACTCCGGGCCTTAGGCCCCCGGACGCCGAGCCGCCACCTCCGCCGCTTCAGACACAGATCCCGCAGCCGACTCTGCAGCAGCCCGCCCCGCCCGGTAGCGAGCGGCGCCTTCCAACTCCGGGTAACCTACGCTGTTGCGGGCTTGGCCGGAAGCCAGACCCAGGCATTTTGGGAAGGGGGTAATGAAAACCAGGCCATTTCACCCACGACCCGGTTTTTACCTTGAGAAAAGGGAACTGGGGTGCTGCTGGGCCTAGTTGCTTCCGGGGATAGGAGACATCCGGAGGGGTAGTGGGGCCGCTGTCGGTTTTCGGTTTTGTTGGAGCTGGAGACGCTGGAGGGGTGGGCACCAAGAAGATGGACATACCCCTGGCCGTTCAGCGCCCTCCCCGTGCCTGAAGCCCCTCCTGCCTCCGCTGCCTAGGCCTGCACTGAGCCGCCCTGCAGATCCAGTGGGCCATGGAAAATTGGATTCTACTCACGAACCTAGGCTTAAGGATAGGGAGTGGGGGCGGGCTAATAGGAAGGGGCGTGCGTGTGTTCTGCTCTGCACTGTACTGTAGTTTGTAAGGAGACCTCATTTCCAGAAGTCTTTAGGGACCCGAAGCCACCGCAAGAATCAAGGATGCGATTTCTACCTGACCGTTTCTAAGGGACTGGCCATGTTCGTTTATCGCATGACTGTTGTCTTGTACCATATATGGCTTGAAATCGGTAGATCGTTAGCTAGAATCTGAGAATCCTTCACCATGAAAGAAGTCAGCTGTCCTTAACAGAGGGACTGTGCTTCAACAAGGCATTCCACTTTGGCTAAGGAAAAGGAAGGGCTGGTCTTAACAGTAAGAATACCTAATCATAGTGCAGGAGTAGAGGAAAAAGTGCATCAGCCTTAATATTCAGCAATTTTTAAGGGCTCCCAGAAATGAAGGGGTTTTAAAAATGGACTTTGGCTAGTCATTTCTTTGTGTTTTTCTGTTCCTTAAGCTTAAGCAAAACATTGGGATTACTTTAAAATCATTCTTTTCTTACCCCTTTCGCTACCAGTGCCATTAGGTTTCATTTCCTCCTTCCTTTACATATCCACAAGGCAGTTTTCAGGTCCTCATCCCCACACCAAGATTCTTGCAGGCAGCTAAGCCCCTCCCAGACTTTATTTCCATATCTAACCTAAACAGTTTTTTACCTGTACCTTTAATTGTACCTCTCTTATCTCCTCCAGACCTACCCTTCTGTGCCTGTATCATGATGTTTTCCTCTTCTGTTTGCTAATCCCAGTAGAGTCATTTCTTCAAGCCTCTCATCCATTACCTGACTAACCTGCTGTTAAGAATTTACTTCCCCTAGCCTCTCAGTGTTGTATAACCTTATGCACAGGATGAGATAATGTTCTCAAAAGTTTTTAAAGAGCCCGTAAAAGTGGGGGTGGGGAGGGCTTAGATGTCTACTTGCAGTATTGTGTTTTTTTTTTTTCTTTAATATTCCGGGGCTCCTGCAGATACCTTGAGATGTCACATAATCTTTCTGAGTCTCACCTCTGTGAAGTTGAACCTTGCCCATCTTTTGTTGAGGACCCATTGAGATAGCTGCACAAAGTATTTTGAAAAGTATAAAGTAATGGTGTTTTTTCTGTTTTATTTTGGTTTTTTATCTAGAGTCTCACTCTTTTGCCCCAGGCCAGAGTGCTATGGTATCAGTCTAGCTCACAGCAACCTCAAACTCCTGGGTTCAGGCTGGGACTACAGGTACCTGCCACAATACCTGGCTAATTTTTCTGTTTTTAATAGAAACGGGGTCTCACTCTTGCTCAGGTTGGTCTCTGGACTTCTGAGCTCAAGAGATCCTCCTACTTGGCCTCCCGGAATGCTAGGATTAGCACATGAGCCACCTGGCCAAAGTGATAGGTTCTATGTAAATGTTTTATTTCTTCATACTATCTACATTATTTGTCTTGTGGTTCACGTTATAATAATTGTTTAATAAATGGCTGTTGAATATATTTGGAGGCCTGAATATGGCAGAGTGCTATAATGGGGCCACTGTTTTTTAAATCTTAAAATCTAGTTTTTGCAAAGATCATGTGAACTAGTTTCCTGGTTCTTTTTTTTTTCTTCTTTTTTTTTGTAGAGACAGTCTCACTTTCATTGCCCTCGGTAGAGTGCTGTGGTGTCACACTGCTCACAGCAACCTCCAACTCCTGGGCTTAGACGATTCTCTTGCCTCAGCCTCCTGAGTAGTTGGGACTATAGGCGCCTGCCTCAACGCCCAGCTATTTTTTTTGTTGCAGTTTGGCCAGGGCCAGGTTTGAACCTGTCACCCTCAGTATATGGGGCCAGTGCCCTACCCACTGAGCCACAGGTGCTGCCCAAGTTTCCTGGTTATTTATATTAAAATATTCATTTGTAAAGATCGATTGGCAATGTTTCTTATCTTTTTTTTAAAGCCAGGCATTGTGAACATAATAGTTATGTTTCTTAACGCTTATTGGAATGTGGCTCTATCATGGAAAGAAATATAAAGTACTAATTTGCTGCTCTGGCTTAAGCGAAAGATGTCTTTGATTAAAAAGCAAAAATAAAGGAGGGGAATGTTACTATACAAATAGAAAGAATAAAGCCAACTAATGGAAAAGTCAGTTTAAAATTCAGTGACTTTATTTTATAATACCACAGTTATCTCAAGGGTTGTAAATTCTCAGAAATGGTCAAGAAACTGTTTTACCTCCCCTTAAAAAAGGTATGTGTAGTACAGGTTGAGCATCTTTATTCCAAGAATCTGAAATCCAGAATGCTGCCAACATGACACTTAAAGAAATACTCATTGGAGCATTTCAGATTTCAGGTTAGGGATGCTCAATTGGTAAGAATGATGCAAATATTCCAACATATGAAACACTTCTGTCCTAGGCATTTCAGATAAGTGATGCTTGACCTATTTAGCATTTTGTGTGGAAAGGTACTACAAAATTGAGCCTTTTATCACTTACATTTTTATTGAGAGCTGGGTAGATAACCAGGCATGAATGGGGGTTGCTGACCTCAGTGAGATGTTTGTAAACATTGAGTCTAGATACAAAGCAATTAAGTGATCATGACTGGAGAGTTGGGGGAGTTGAGATAACATTTTAGCTGAGTCTTCTGTAATGTTTGGGGATGGCCCCATTTTAAGCACAGGGAAACTGCTAGAGCCAAGGCCAGAAGGCTCACAAAATAAGGAAAGAATAATTTAATGTTAACTGGATTATAATGGGAGATGGAACTGGGAAAGTAAGTTGGGCCAGGTCTTGGAAGTCATTGAATGTCATGTTTATAGAATTTGAATTTTGGTCTGTAGCAGCTAGGAACTGTTGTAGAGTTTAGAGGGTGGACCTAGCCTGATATAACCTAGAAGCACAACTTCAAATAATAATAAGAGGCAATGTTTAAAATTATTATCAACTGTTAAAAAGAAATTTGCATTTTTTAATAACTTACCTGTTTTATGTGGCCGCCTTTGGAAGAAAAGCATATCTATGTGGACTTGATAGTCCTTCTATCAGCCTCAAAGTTATACCTTTTCATTTATTTGCTTTGCCAAATAGGAGGCAGTTAGAGGTTTATCAAAGACCTCCTTTTCCCATGAGCATCGTCATTATACTGTACTTGTCCTTTCTTGTTTCAGGTCTTTGCAGTTTCTTACATCCTTGTATTTAGTCTAGCAGGTATGAGCTTAAGGAATAAATGCATTTTAAAAATTAAGTGAAAATTTCATAAATTCAGGGACTTAAAATACGAACTTAATAGCACTCTTAAAGGGAAACATTGCTGATCCTACATTTTTCCAGTGTTTAGGCTGAGAGTAATGGAATCTTAACTTTGTATGGAGCCATTTAGAGTTCATATCAGTTTTTAGAATGGACTGTCAATTCTTATGGTGTTCATTATCTTTGGTTTTGATTTTCACTACTTTATGTAGGCTTTTGACATTTATATTGAATGACTCCCCAAGGTTACAATCACAGAGCTAAAAAGAACCAAAGTGTCATTATTAACATCTCCCACCATTAAGAAAATACAGCAAAGTGTACACTAGAATAATATGAGTGGAGGAGAGGATACCAATTTTCTGGGATTCTTTTTCCCCCCTTAGGAAACTTTAAGTGAATACAATATTATAGCACAAAAACAAAGAACTTGAAAACCACATCCTTTCAAATTCTTTGTTGTTTCTAGGAGTATACTTCAAAGTGATCAGTACTTTGTTTTCCCATTAATAGTGTTAGCAAATTTGGTTTGTGATTACCTTGACTCAGAATAGTAATCTGAATCCCACCAAATACTGTCTCCTATAAGATCAGGAAATTCTTTTCTAAGCCCTGACCATCAATCCCAAGCAATAAACTTAACCTCTTCCTCTGGTTAGTGTCCAGGCTTGTGAACATAATGGTTTCTGTTGTCCTTTTCTTCCAAAGATCTTAAGAGTCTTGTATGGGCAAGAGCATTCTTAGGAAATCTTAGATGGTAAGAGACTTAGATACCTTAGTTTGAGAAATTATGAAATTTAGGCTTGGTGCCCATAGCACAGTGGTAACTGCACCGGCCACATATACTGAAGTTGGAGGGTTGGAACCCAGCCCGGGCCAGCTAACCAACAATGACAACTGCAACAAAAAATAGCCAGGTGTTGTGGCAGGTGCCTGTAGTCCCGTCTTCATGAGAGGCTGAGGTAAGAGAATTTTTTTTTTT